TTCACATTGATAAGAGTATAAAATTTGCCAGTGGCCCAGGGCGGGCCCGACCCGGCCCGTTGACAATGTGAATAATCATATTGACATGTTAACATTCATATTGATAAGAGTGTAAAATTGGCCCGCAGCCCATGGGCGGCCCGAAGCCCGACCGCAGCTTGAGACGGGCTTGGCTCGACCCGTGACAATGTGAATATTCACATTGATATGTTAACATTAACATTGATAGGAGTGTAAAATTTGCCCGCTGCTCGAAGCTTGCCTGCGGCCCGAGGTAGGCCCGACCCGGCCCGTTGACAATGTGAATATTCACATTGACATCTTAAAATGCACATTGATAGGAATGTAGAATTGGCCTGCGGCCCGTGGGCTTCCCGAAGCCCGCCCACGGCCCGGGGCAGGCTCGTTTCGGTCTGGGCCCGAGCATGTCCGAGACCCTAGGTTAGGGCCTAGGTCATCACTTTGAAGCCCGGCTTGGCCTATCGGCCCGCTTAAGGCCCATTCAAGGCTCGGTCCGAGGCCCAGCTCACCCGAGGTGCAATGTATTTTTTTGTGAAAAATAATAAAATTTTGGTAGAAAAAATTAAAAAGAATTAAAAAAAAATGGCCAGGCTGCCCAAGCTTGACCTAAGATCGAGACTAGGCCCAGGCCCACCAGCCCGACTCCAGGCTCGATCCATCGGCCCGTCCAAAGCCCGAATACCCTTATGCTAGGGCTAAGGCCTGAGCCTAATTTTTTGGCCCGTGGGCCGGCCCGGGAAAGGCTTGTTTAGGCCCAAGCTCGAGCCTAGTCCGAGACCCTAAGCTAGAGCTTGGGCCATCACTTTGAAGCCCGGCCCAGCCCATCGGCCCGGTTAAGGCCCATTCAAGGCTCAGTCCGAGGCTCGGCTCGCGCCGAGGCCTAGTGTCTTTTTTTGTGGAAAGTAATAAAATTTTGGTAGAAAAAATTAAAAAGAATTAAAAAAAAATGACTAGGCCCACCCCAGGCCGCCCACGGGTTTCGGGTAGCCATGAGGCACGGGTTAATTTTACACTCTTATCAATGTGAATGTTAACATGTCAATGTGAATATTCACATTGTCAACGGGTCGGGACGGGATGGGTCGGGCCGGGCCCGCCTCGGGCCGTTGGCCAATTTTATACTCTTATCAATGTGAATGTTAACATGTCAATGTGAATATTCACATTGTCAATAGGCCGGGTCGGGCCCGCCCTAAGCCGCCACGAGGCGCGGGCTAATTTTACACTCCTATCAATGTGAATGTTAACATGTCAATGTGAATATTCACATTGTCAACGGGCCGGGCCGGGCCCGCCCTAGGCCGTGGGCGGGCTTTTGACTGCCCATGGGCCACGGGCCAATTTTATACTCTTATCAATATGAATGTTAAAATGTCAATGTGAATATTCACATTGTCAACGAGCTGGACCGGGCCCGTTCCGGGCCGCCCATGGGCCGCGAGCCGGTTTCGCGCCGCCACGGGACGCTGGCCAATTTTACACTCCTATTAATGTGAACGTTAACATGTCAATGTGAATATTCACATTGTCAATGGGTCGGGCCCGCCCCGGCCCAACTCGAATTTTTCCGGGCACCCACGAGGATCGACATGGGGCGGGTCCCTACACATTGACGATATGAACATTCACATTGACGGTGTGAACATTCACATTAGGGGTATTTTGATAATTATGTCACCTATAGGACTTATTGAAACATAAGAAAATAATGTGAACTAAATGGAACATAAGTAGATGAAAAGGATATTTTGGTCTTCTTATCTCAAATAGGACCTAATGGAATAGTAAAAAAGAATATGGGTTGGATGGAATAAAGCTCTTAGAAAGTGGATTTATCAAAAAAACTCACATTCACTAAAGTGAGATTCATATTTCACAGGAAGACTTTTTTGCAATAAAGACATACTAAGAAGAAACTGGGAGCAAATTCACAGAATCATCTCATAAAAAAACAACACAGCATCAATAAAATAAGCGATGAATGTATAATAACTTTAAATTGAAGAATGCATAAGATAGGAACACAAACAGAGAGAGATAGAGAAGATGAGCATACTGGTTATTTTGTTTACTACAGGTGTAGATAGTACCAACATTAGCAGGAGAAGGTATATATATAATCGTATACACTTGGCCAACTGATGCAAACCACATGCAAGACAATCGGTGATTTGCAGATTGAAAAATTGGAACCACATAATTTCTGGATACCAATTTATTACACAAAATGACTCACCTCCTTGATTCTGCATCTTGGGAAAGCAAGAGACAACAGAAACAAACCAACTATGAACTGATAAGGAGAAACATTCAGGGCCCAAAACCAGCAGGGCAAACAGGGGAGAAAAAAATAAACTAAACAGATTCACAAAAACATCCACAATCGAGGTAGGGCAAATAAGGCAATTCAATGCATTAGATTCAAAATGACCTGCGAGCTTCCATTCTTTTATATATAGGTTATAGATAAAGTCTCATTTGAGATTGGGCCGGCCATATCTTGCCCGAGGATTCTAGAGGTTATTGCAACTTGCTATCAAGTGTTAAACCTTGGCTCACTGTTGAATTGAAGCCCATCTTTTCTATCTTTTCCTTTTTTGTCAATTAATTTTCTATGCCATTTTGGGAGGCCTTAGAACAACCCTTAAGAAAGAAGACCAATCTTATGATGGTTGAGTTTAGTTTCTCTCTTATGATTTGTTTTTCTGTAATGATTTTGCCCTATTTTTATCACAACAAGATCAACAAAATATATTTTCTAACCTTTCAAGTTGTAGTTGAAGAAAATGACATTAAAATTGAAAAGGACCAATTATAGATACCATGAAAATTGATTCAAAATTTTATTATGAAAGTGAAGTGAAGGCCATAGATTTAAAATTAGTGTGTTGTAAACTAAATGTAGAATGATTTTTATTTACATATTTAAATTTTGGATAATTTAACCTACAATGACATTACTTATTACAAATCAATTTCTTAATTAACCTATAATGACATTACTTATTACATATCAATTCTTTTTTGTTACATAATCATATAAAGGCTAATCTAATCACATATTTAAGAATTTAAATTGGATTCAGCTAAAAATAAAGGAGGTGTAATATAGATTTCAGATTATATTTAGCACTTCCAAATTTCAAAGAAATTATTTGATGGTGTTAAGAGTATTGATTGCTCCACATCACTCATATTATGATTTATTCTGGTAAAATTTCCTCATTTTCCTTCTGAGTGACCGGAACTCCATCACGACCTTGGAATAAGAATGAAAGCCTTAGGAACATTGGTGTTTTGTTAGTAGCCTATGAGTTTTTTCAACCCACTAGGCATATAAGGTCTATTAATTAAAATGGCTAGTATAACTCAATTTTTTCAATTTTAATAGATAAGGTATTTTATGATTAAGCATTTTTTTCAACTTACATTTCCTCGCTAAATGTAACTAGCCTTCAAATGCTAGCCAAAATCTATTTGACCCTTATGATTCTTTTCTTTTATCTTTATTGTTGATGTAACATTCCATAAAGTAAATAGTATTTAGATGGATAATTAAAATAAAAAAGTAAAATTAGAGTGAAAGCATGAAAAGATGGACAAGTAAAATACTTAACATTGAAGATATTCTACTCATTTTGATGCTTTTGTTAGATTCATTGTCTCAAATCTCTTTCTCACTTTCTATGAATTGTAAAAAATACTCACCTTATTTGCTAACTCTTCTTATATTTATACATCAGTAGTTGGTACATAATAGTTGTCTTACTCTAGTTTTACGTTGGATTTCCACGTTTCTTTTGACAATTGTATCCGTTCTAATGGCTTTTATTGACTGGTGTTTTTTAAATTCTTAAAATATTCATTAGTTGATAATTTGAGATTTAGATCTTCCAATCAAATCAACTTTTCGAAATGAGTTTTCAACAAGATATCTTAAATACTTCTTCATCCTGAGACCAAGCCCACTTGACCTAATCATCATCATATTCTATTATATCTCATAAAAAAAATCTTAAAATTGTTGATTTCATTATTTAAACAAATAAAATTTATAAAAATGTCTAATAGTTCGAATTTGTGTGGTTCGCGTGACTTGATTGTAACAAAACGACATTAAACAAATAAAATTTATAAAAATGTTTAATAGTTTGAATTTGTGTGGTTCGCATGACTTGAATGTTACAAAACGACGTCGTTTTATTCTAAAAATAACATCGTTTTGAGATATTTAAGCAATTCAAATCATGAGAATTTGAATAAAATTTAAATTAAGGGAGCAGCTTGTCTCCAGTTCGAAATGGGATTAGATGGTGTTGTTCGACCCGTGGGGTCCACCATGGGTCCCGTTTTGATAATCTAAATCGTTTAATGTGCAAATCTCGTCGAGTACTAGATGTTAATAAAAATCACCTTGATCGGATATTGATAGTTATGTGATCAAATTAGTTTTGTATTAAAAAAAATAGATGGTAAACAAATTAATGGTTAACAAAAAACTGATTCGATGGGATAGCTATCGATATCCGATCAATATAATTTTTACAAACATATAATATTCGACGAGTTTTATACATTAAATAATTTATATTATCAAAACATGATCCGTGATTGACCTTCACAGACTGAACAACATTGTCTACAGACTAACAACACCGTCTAATCTGATTTTGAACCGGCGGCACGCTACTTTCTAAATTAAAACACCACATCTGATAAAAACCTATTACTCATGAGCCAAAGGTGGACATTGACAGGCAGATATTGTCATACTACGTCGTTTCACCATGCAAACTATGGATTTCCGCGCCCTGGGACAAATGCACACCCCATCCAATTAAGATCTCGTCCACTCGATAGACAGCGACATTTCAGATTATATTTTTCATCAACGCTCAAACCACCGTTGATCTCTCACAAAAAGCTTAACCGTCGATTTCATAGACTTGCTTTATATATATAGATTCGACTCATCTACACGTACGCTTTTAGTTTGCCCTCGTCGCCGCAACACTCGCCAACAAAAACACAAACGAAATCTCTCTCCCTCTATGTCCATTTGTTTCTGAGCGACCGATCGAGTTGAAGATCTGTGAACTCGAAGAAGCAGAAGGAAGATTTTGTCTCTCTAGAATCTGGATTGTGACGGCGTAGTGTGTGTTCGGCTATGGGTGATAACTCAAAGAAAGAGTTGGTACAGCTGATCAAGAGATTTGGGGCTTATCTCAGCCTCAAGATGTCCAATCTCTTTTCCATCTCCCTCAACAATCTCGTTCGTTTCTCTCTATTCTTTCTCTCTCTTTCAAATAATGCATTTAACTTTATATATATATATATATATCTGCATACAGTATGTATGTGTACGGATCTGAGAGGGCTTTTTAGTGTCGTAATCGTTCCTTTTTTAGTTACTTTGTTGATGATTGCATCGAATATCTCTCATGTTCTTTGAATTTCCTTTATTATGTCTTTTCATTTTGGTGATTTAGTGATAAAAAATTGGTGTTTTCTTCTAAAATTGGAAACTTCATGCGCTTCAAATTACTCTCTTTTGTTGATTTATCGAAATATGAGGTTTTAGTTGAACATTATGTCTAATCTGGGTTCAAGCCTTGCCCATCTCTTTGTTTAACTTTTTTTTTAAAAATAAAAAATACTGCCACATGGCATGAGGAGAGTAAAGTTTCAAGACACCATAAGAGTTTGTGTTCACTTTATAATAGTATAGATAGATAGATATATATATCCAACTTATGGACTAGTTTGAGTTGGTGCTAAACCCTTTAGGCCAAAACTGCTAAACTGAGTCTATATATTTGAATTAGTTCTCAGACATTATATTCACCATCACAGTTCATAAGTATCCTATTTAATCTCGGACATTTTGTATTTGAATTTAATCTCAGACATTATAGTTTGATGCTAATGGGTTAGTAAGTAAAGTTAGCACAATTGGGTGTTTGACACTATGTTACCTAGAACGTGGATCGTTCCGGTACATGGAGCGGCAATAAGAACGTGGTACGCCGCATACTCTCAATTTGGTACGATAGGAGTAGATTTATATATATTACTAGGCTTAAAAATTTGAGGTACTTGTAGAGTAGTTTTCTTTTAACTATTAGGTATCTAATAAATTTATTATTATCATTATTGTTAATGTAGCAAATTATTTTTCTGAAAATTATGACCCATTTTTTATATTTTTGTCTTGTCAAAACTTAATTCACTTTAGATTTTAGTTCATATATTTGATTTTTTTTTTTCTCTTAACCACATTTAAGGTATTGGAAAAAACTTTTGAGATCGCTTTGGATCATTAAATTTACTATTTTGGAACGAAAATGTACCATGTTTTGGAACGTGTGTACTAATACGTAATTCGCTAAAGTATTAGTGTTTTCTGGTAAGATAGGTTTGACATTTCTCCATAAGCTCAAACCCCAGACTTTCCCTAGAAACCTAGAGGTACAACCACTTGAATACACTCAAGTTGGTTCTTTAGCGTTTAAGAAGTAATTATTTTGATATTGAAAGCGATGATCTTGTCTTTATAGAAGCAATAGAAGAGGTTTGTTATCCTAGTTGAATGCGATATTTGCTATCAATAGTTGCTTTGTGATTGGTTGTGAATTTGTATATGGAGATTCATATTAATTTTTTGAGAACATAGAGGTCTCTGTTTGTTTTTAGCCAATGAGAGGTTTATCCACTGACAATAAAAATGCAGTACTGTCTTTCTAAAGAACAGCCAACAACTGGGTATGTTGGTTTGCAACTACGTGACCTGTATATTATCAGAGATACTCCCCATAAGGTCACAATAAAGATCTTGTCAGGGCCATACTGTTTGTTTCTGCTAGTCAATTCTTTTCTTGATGATACCAATCTCATGTAATGTGAGGAAACAAAATAAAGTAAAAAAAAAAAAACACTGAAATTATTATTATATTTTTTTCTGTAGTAAAAAGGGAGTATCCATAGTTCTAAAAACCAGCCGGTTTGTACTGGAATTTTGGCTCTCTGATTTAGATACACAATGATGTAGTGGTGTGAATTTATTTTGCAAGCTAACCGGCTGCCAGTTCACGGTACAAAACGGGCCAAATCGGTTGAAACACCGATATTAGCACTTAGTGTTTTAAATGGCGCGGTTAGGCGCACGCCTAAGCGTGAGGCGCAACCTTGCACTTCAAACAGGTTGAGGTGAGGCACAATACGTAAGGCGCGGCTTAGGCGCTGAAGTGAGGGCTTTTTTTCGAGACGCAAGGCGCGAGCTTCATGGGCTTTACTTATTTTTCTACTCCAACTATTGATTAAGTGTTTTTTTGTGGGCATAACCACAGGAAATCAAAACTCTTCAATATAAAATAACCAAATGTGGTCAAAAGAGAGCAGAAAGTGATTAAAAAAAATCCTAATTGGAGGAGATAAAAAAGTGATCAAAAAGTGAGAAGACGACATGATTTCGGCTTCTTCTTCAGATTCTTCTCTTCTTCTCATTTTCTTTGGTGGTTCTCTTTTTCTTTGGTGGTTTTGTTTCTCTTCTTCTCTTCTTTGATGGGTTCTCTTGGTTGGGTTATCTCTCTGCCTCTGTTTTTTCTTCCTTTATTTTCTTCTTCTCTTCTTCGATGGGTTCTCTTCATGGGACTGGCTTTGTTTTTCTTTCCTTATTTTTCTTCTTTTCTTCTTTTCTTGTCCTGCTTCTTCGCTGGGTTATCTCTCTATTTTTTCTTCTCTGTTATGCTTGTGAAGCTTGTTTTTATAATTTTTGGAATTCTATATATATTTGTTATGTTGAAAAGTTTGCCTATTTTATAATTTTGCTTTTCTTCTACTACTTGCGCCTTGCTTTGGAGAGGCGCTCGCCTCGCCTCGCCTCGCCTTGTTCTTAGGCTATAGGAGACCTTATTGCCTCGGTGTGCCTAGAGCCTTTTAAACACTATTGGCACTAATCCGGTCTGGTTCAAACCTGTTCCTCGAACTACAAATATTTTTACTCTAGTGCACCTTTATTAGCCATCATTTTGCTTCCTTTTCAAAAGCACGTGGCACAAGGCTGTGGCTAGAGGGCCAAGCGGCCAGCATTCAAGTCATTGCAAAGAGTGCAAATACTGGGTGCTTTTGTAAGCATTACACTTTGTAATGCTCTCCGTGTGTCTTCAATGTGGGACAGCAACGGAATTAAAGAACAAAGGCACTGAAGCTGTTTTTATACATACTCTAATATGCATGGTTTGTTGGGTTTTTCCAATGTGGGATTAATGTTCAATACCACAATAAGTAATTAGATTTATTTGATGTGAATCCTTTTTAGGATTAAAATTAAAATAGCATCTGTAATTTAACAAATTGTTTGGTAAAGCTTATAATTGTAATTTGTAAAATCAAAAAAGTTAAAATCATCACAAATCAATTGAAGTTCATCCATAGTTAAAAATGCTTCTATATATCAAAGTATTGATTTAAATGTGTTTAATTGAGCTTACAAAGGTAAAAACGTGCATATCAAGCGGTTGCTAATGATTTTAAATTTTTCACTACCGCGACACCAAATTCCCAATACGTATCACTCGGCACATCATACACTGCAAATGATACCCGTTTGATGTCCCGATTCTGCGATTTAGAACCATGGGAGTATCTAAAAATTAGGGTAAGTTGAGCTATATAGATTTTCTCCGCTATAAAGTCTCAGCTTTGGTCCTATGGTATTTTGTTGTTTTTTGGGAAAGCTAATTATGTATGTGTACGTGTGTTAACCTTTTGGATAAATTGCGTTTGTTATATTATGATGATTTTTATGCCTTTGGAATTACTGGCAGGATTCTCGATCTGTTGGGGCTGTGGCAGGGCTTGCCATTGCAATACTGTTTACTTGGAGGCTATTGAGATCACCTAGTGGACCTCAAAGAAGACAACCTAAACGACAAGCACCTACATCTAGTAGTTCTGGTGTAAGTAATCATTCAAATACAAATTTGACATCTTCTGGAGTTTGCTCTCCTTCAGAAGATTCAAGAGCACAAAATGTTATTGATGAGTTCTTTCAGCCCGTAAAGGTAATTAAATCACTTTCTATCTATATTTGAAATTGAATTACATTGCTTTATTCTTAATGGGTTTACGACTAATGTGTTTTCTTTCCTCCTACAGCCAACTCTAGGACAAATAGTTAGGCAGAAGTTGAGTGAAGGAAGGAAGGTAATTTGTCTATACACTACAACATTTTCTGGTGCATATACAATATATTTGGTGTTGCTTGTAATGTTCTTATTTTGTAGAAGTAGCAAATTTATGGTTGATGTAGTTCTGTACTCAAATGTCTTGTTGACATGAACATGGATTCTTGACGAGGAACAAAATATGGAGAAGGAGAGAGGGAGGGGAGAACACAAAATTTCCATGGCCTTTCTCAACTCAATATCTCGTTCTTAAAAAACTAACTCTTACAATACCAAAGACTCAATATTTATATGTCAAAACCCTAATTAATTTAGGAAACAAGTTCCAAACATTATTGGAAACAAAATCAAAATCTCTCTCTAATACTTGATTTAAATCCCAACTAAATAATAATATTTCCAATTACATTTATAAAGCGAAAACGCTTCTGGACCCACGGGCTCCATCCTAGGCTTCCAAATTTGATAATGGGCTTCCAAATAGTCAAGGGTTGCACCATCAATTCTCCTTCTCAAGAAATTAGAAAATTTGAGTTTATTATCCATAGCATGCTCCTGCCTTTGCCAGTCAAGCTTCTAATCATAGAACTTGCCTATTGTCTATGAAGTACGGATACTTCAAAAAGGGAAACGTATCTGTATCGGATACTTATCGGATACCGATACTCCTTGGATACTCGCGGATACGTATCGGATACTTCTTAATTAATTTTTTATTAATTTTAAAGTATCGCTTAATTTTGAAGTATCGGATACTCGAAGTTACATATTACTTATAATATTTTGTTTAGTTCTTTGATAAGAGGAATATAGTGAGAGTTAAAGTAATAGAATTTGTCAAATTAACGTATCCTTATTGTCTCTCTCACTTCTCTCTTGCTTTCTCACTCTCTCACGTTTCTTCTCTCTGCTTTCATTCTTTTTTTGGTGTTGGCATGTAAGGATGATATTTAATTTGCATTTGCTTTTGCTTTTAGTTTTGGATGTTTTATGAATGTTTGAAGACTTTTAGGTTAATAAGAATCCCTCTCTTTATTTATTAATTTACTTTAGGTTTTATTTTCATGCATATTACATTATTAAAATTATAAAAATATTTTTTTTTACGAACATATTCCCGCCGTATCCATATCATACTTTTTCAAATTTTGACGTATCGCCATATCCATATCCCCATATCGCCATATCCGTATCCGTAGCCGTATCCATGCTTCCTAGGTTATCATTGATGACTTAAAAAAGTATATTTGCTGAAATTTTTATTAGAATAGTTTTTTGGCTTTAGCTAAGGTTTGTGATATTCACTGATGAAGGGGAACAAGTTGAAACTATTGACCTTGAAGACTCTTAGTTTTATAGGAATCTTTCTTGTTTATCAAGTTGTCTTTTGTTTTAGGTTTTATTTTTATGCATACTGCATTACTAAAAATTGTAAAAATAATATTTTTTATAAACGTATCCCTGCTGTGCGTACCAAATACTGCACTACATGAAAGTGGATCGAAGCTTCACAACTGAATGGACTGTCCAGGAACCGAGGACCTGCAACACAGAACACTATCAAGGCTGCCCGGCCGGAAAACCCCTCCGGCGTGGGGATGAGTGATCGGAGAAGATGATGAACTCTCTCTAGGTGTAGAGAGAGTAAATGAAAGAGTAAATTCGGTTGTGCTCAACTTAAGATCAAATTAGATACCTTCAATGTGAAGAGAGTGAGGCTTATATAAAAAACTTTGCTTGTTGCTCAAGATGGTTTCATGGAGCTTTGGTGCTGCCAAGTTTATTTTAACATTGCTCAAGGTAGGGGACCATCAAGTTGTTGATAATGGATGCACATACTTGTTGTAATCATGCTGATAACAAACCACATTCCCTTGATCAACCAATTCTGTGATTCTATGGGAGGAGACTAGTTGAGGTGGTAGCTTGCACATGCATGCGCTCATAGCTTTCACGTTTCTCTGAGAGGTTCCCTCAGCTAGGTACCGTTGTGTCTCAGTTCGGCTTTTTGTGGGACTATTTGTAGAGATGTGAGATGTGCTGGCCCACTCGGATATCTTTGCGTGGGCTCGGCCCACTTTGGTTTTGATGATGGGTGCGGCCCATCAGTTCGGTCCCTAGATTAAGTCTTGCAGCTCGGCCCAGCCCAATATCACGGCTGGACTGACCTTTCCACTGCAAGTTGAGCCTAAGTGCTTGAGGACTTGGGTGGACTGTTGATCATGGAGTTGGGCTTAATTGGCATGCCACATGTTCATCTAACCCACTTGGATTTGGGCTTAGAGGATTGGACCGGCCCAAGGCTTGGATCCGACCTGTTTCACATTTAGCCCCTTCACCCGCTGTACCCGTATCCTAGTTTTTCAAATTTTGCCGTATCGCTGTACCCGTATCGTATCCGTATCCCATATATGTATTCGTGCTTCCTATCGTTTTTATTTTTATTTTTAAATAGTGTATCATAAGTTTCTTTAATATTTTAAAAAATAGGTAGAAAAATAAATATACTGGTTGAAAAAGCAAATATCTTGTGAGAACAAAACACTAAACAGTGCATAATCCTTAAAATTGCAAAGTAAGGTTCCTTGAATTAAAGATATGCACACATCAATATTCAATGCATAAAATGTATAGCGGAGTTAAAATATGTATAACAAAAGATATAGCACTCAGTACATTATTATATCCTCGAATCAAATTGAGTTGAAGAACCATAAGGTTATTTGGTTGTTTTGGATAATCTAAATAAGTATACTTTTTGACTTTTTACGTGTGCAGAGAAGTAGAGACGTGATGTGACTGAAACAAGTACACTTATTTATATAAGTGCACTTATTTAGTTTATGCCAAATAGTATATATCACTTAGTACCTTATTATATAGCAAATGTATCGTGAATCGTAAGATACTGACAACATTGAGTTGGACATTTTTGGTTTATCGTTCAGGTCTTCCAAGTGGTGTTTATTGCTGTAATTGTAATGCTCTAAAATCATACATGTTTTTTGGTGTTAAGTTGTTCAAGCAGTAAAATTAATTTTTTAATCTGATAACTATCAATTACTGTTCAGATTACAAATAAAAATTTTGGAACTAAATGTCTGCAGTTTTCTTTTTGGAGTTCAAATATTCCTGCACATGAGTTGAGTGATTCTCCTTCCCTTTGTTAGAGTAAAACCTAGTTCCAACCAAGTTGTTCCTCTGGCTTGCATTTGGTGTTCCAACTCTAATAAATTACATGGTTGTTAACTTTGCATACAACTCTTGAAGAATCAGACAAGCTATGAATTGCAACGTTAATTGCTCCGTCTATTGGTTCCAGACAGGATTTTTTCATGCCATTATGCTAGTTATGCAGTGGACAAAACACATCCATGAATCTTGAAGATTGTGACTACGAAATGAAGGTTTATGTGGGAGTGACCTCAATTTAGCAGATAACCACATGTTTAGGTTGATCAGAAATAAAGTGAATATCCAGATCAATATTTTCATTTAAATAATGACTATCTACAAGTTAAAGAGAACTTTAGATATACTGAAATGGGATTGTTGGGCAAATTGTTGGCCAAAATGTTATTAAGGATTAAATTTTTCATTTTGAACTTGTAACTCTCATGTTTCGACCAATCCATGGAGAACGAATTACAGCATGGGAGACAGGTCCTACTTTTGAATCTCCATTTTCGGATGTGTTATACTAATTTAGTTCTGATTTTCTCTAACCTTTTCGATATACTTGATCCCCCTTTGACTTATGTAGACATTAGTTTAATTTTTTTAGGTCAGTGACTTGTTCACTACGAGATTCTTGCAGTTTTTATAATTTAATTTCCCTCCTTATATTGGATCTTTAAGTTTGATGTATTTGTCATATCACCATCCTTGCATCTTGAAGTCAATTGACTTGACTTGACTTCAGCTATTTTATTTCTCTAGTCATGGGTTTCCAGTACTAAATTTAATGCATTTTCAACCTCCTTGTGCATAGTTTAGACAAAAAAATGCCAGTGTCATGGTATAACTTCTTGCTCCTACTGTAGGTTTCAATTTTTGTTGTTGATAATAATAATATCAATGGAAAATAATATTAATAACGACAACGAAACGCCACCACCACCTCCAGCGCCGACAATTACAACAACAATAATCTTGATGTAACTGTTGAATATATATATATATTGTCTGGATGAATTTGGTTGAATTATTGAGAAGTTGGGTGGTTGAATTAGGTAGAGATCTAGGAACTTATAGAATAAAATTTTCAGGAGAATCTAAGATTTTCTTATCTATTTAACTCGTTTGTGATTTTAATCCTTCCATTGCTTCCCCTATGTAGGTAACGTGTCGGTTGCTTGGTGTAATCCTTGAGGAAACTAGTCCAGAGGAGCTTCAGGTGGTGACATTCTTTGTCAAGTAATTTTGTGCATGAGTTAACAATCTGAAAGGATTGATGTTAAAATTTTCTTTTTCTGGCAGAAACAAGCTACTGTGAGATCCTCTGTGCTGGAAGTACTGCTGGAGATTACAAAATTTTGTGATCTTTATCTCATGGAAAGAGTTCTGGATGATGAAAGTGAAGTGAGTGTAAACCTGTCTGTTTATTCCTTCTTTACTAGTAGCCATTAGCATAATTTGTTTTCTTACATTTTCCGTCGAGTGATGTGCTTTTAAGTGCTTGGGCAAGCCTTGCATGTGTTCCTCAGGAAATTTATTTGTGCATATAGACTCGTCATATTTGGTTCTATGCCCTACTCTGTATGATCACTGCATAAAATTTTGTTAGTTTGACTTCATAATTTACCAATTGGCACATTGAGGGTCTGGTTGGTTGTGTTTTTTTGTTTGTTTGTTTGTTTGTTTTTTTTGACTTTCTGGAAAATACAAGAACTTGTTTGGTAAACTATTTCCGAAGATCTTTTTTTTTGTTTTATTTTTTTTTTTGCAAACAACCCACTTCTTAGGATATACCAAAAAGTTGTTTCAATTTTTTTAAAGTGTTTTTGCACAAAAATGAAAACGACTGGTGCTTTCCAGCTTTTCATTGTTTTGTTTCCCCAAAAAAAAGAAAAAAAATAGAACACAACTGAACAGCCCCCAATTTTTTTTCCCCCTGTATCAGTTGATATTTTGCTAGAGTGGCGGAATATGTAGATAAAAACAGTGATGCATCAAAAAAATTGTTACATTCCATTTTTCGTAGACATCCATGAATACATATTCCATTCCTTGATGGAATTGTATGATTGCAAAATTGTATGATGAAGTATTGTTGTTGGGGTTGAGTTCATTCTCTAGAAGAGCACACCCTTACAAATAAAAAAAAAGAGGAAAGAATAAAGAACGAAAAAAAGAAGAAGCTATACAAGCCAATTTCATATATTCTAAATATTTAACCATCAATTTGTGAAGTGTATAATTGTGTTGCACACAACTGATGTGTTCCTTTAAGCTTTAACCCCTTATTATTCTTTTTTGTTAAAAAGTTGTTTGGTAGTGGTTTCAATTTTATCGTTTTATCTCTTGTTTTTATTCTTCTAAAATTCCAATAAAGAAAAAATCAAGTCGTGGAAACTGTACCTTTTCTTGTCATTTTATTTTCTAATAAACTTAAGCTTTGCAATACGCAGAAAACTATTTTAGTAGTTTCCTGGAAATAGCTGGTTTTAACTTCTTGCAAATATAGCTTTCAGAGAAGCATACCACAATTATGTTCTCCATTTATGCAAATACGAGTCCAAATTGATCCTCATAAAATAAATTCGGATGAGAATACGAAGTATGGAGTGGATTAAAATTGGTGGAACATTGAAAAGCATGGACACGGACATGCGACACGACACGGATACGCCGACACGCCAATTTTCAAAAAATGCAAAACACGACACGTGGAAGACACATGAAGTATATAATTTCATATATTTATTAAATGTTATATATATGAATATATCATTCAAAGATTATAAAAAAAACAATGTGACACTAATTCTTCTAAATTTATATGGTTTTGTTTTATTATTGTATTTTAAGTTGTTTTATTCGAACTTAAAATTAATTTCATTCGTGTCTAATCGAGAGACACGTGTGTTTAAGCGATCAACACATGTGCCTCCAAGTGTCCAAAGAATCTCCGGGTCTTTAAAAAAAATTAAAAAATAGGACACATTTTGAAGAGTGGCGGACACGTGTCGGGGAAGTGTCCAAAGAGTGTTGGTGTCTGACACGGACACAACACGACACGGAATACGTCACCTTCTTAGAAGTGCCCGTGCTTCTTAGGTGGAACATATGAGACATTTGATCTTGTTATTGCCATTTCATTCAATGTATCCAAAATAAATAAATAAATCTGTTTCTATATGATAATGCTTGTTTTGCTCCCTTAGAATTTCATATTAAAGTAATCTTGAGGACAAGCTTGGATAAGTTTATGGATCTTAGACAACTAGTATGTAATTGTATCTACTTGATGTATCTGTGGATGCTTGTAGTACATAAGCACTTGTAGTCCTGTGTTATATTTATTGCCTTGGTATTTTTTTCAGACAACAAGCTTAGCTAGTTTTTATTTTTTTAGTATCTTCCCTCTCTTATTTCTATTGCAGTTTAAACACTTTACAGCTTGACAGAACATCACGAACAAATTATTTTATTTTGTTTTGACAGTCCATACTTGTCAATTGCAATAAATAGAAAATAGTATTCTTGTCATTCATTCACATATGAATAAATGCATGCAGAAAAAGGTTCTCCTAGCTTTAGAAGATGCTGGGGTTTTTACATCTGGCGGCTTGGTCAAAGATAAGGTAATTTGTGTATGCATTACTGGCAGTATTTGAAATATTATGAATTGTAAATTATTATTTTTTTTCCATTGAATTTTTGGAGTTATAATCTTCTTGAGATTGGTTTTTAGGTTAAGGAACTGTTGAGTATCATAAGTGCCATCTTAGTTTGAGCTTTGAGCCAATTAGCAAACTTTGGTTGTGTTCAACTGTCCATTTTCTAGGATAAAGTGACTGGTTTGACATAATATTAATCATATTGCAAGTATCTAACTGGAAATAGGTCATTGAATCCACTTAACCACTTGGCACTCCATGTTTCATTCTAGTGTGATGTTTAAGCTCCTTTGATGAATGTATTTGTAGACAGCAGCTCCTTTGGTCTACAACTTTTGAAGCGATTGAGGGTCATCTTGTTCTCCCTTTTTCTTGAGAGCAGGCAGCAATGATTTGCCTCTTTCTTTGAAGAGGGTTGGTGGTGGAAAGCAAGAAGTTGAGATGGTTACAGTGCAGTCCTCTCTACACCTGTTGCTGCATACATCCACCTGCACCTTTTATGACACCTGTTTTATGTCATGTCATCTGCTTTTGCCTCTCATATTTTTGAGCAAGCTTGTTACCCTTTTCATCATAATTATTATAGTAGTAGTGTGACATTGACATTCTACTTTCTTCCGACTCTATATTTTGTTGAGCTCAATCTTGCCTGGACGGATGACAATTTTGGTCTGCCCCACCCTCAATTGAACAGGCTTTCACAATCCCAATGAAGGGGGCAAGTTTTTTCCACACCACCTGCAATGGATTTCAGGGCAGGACTGGTGTTGGTTCCTCCGATCCTGATCCCTACCCCAAGCCAAGTATGTCAAAAATATATTTAGAATATTAAAACTTTAAGAAAAATATTAGATAAATGAGAATGGGAAAAGTAATTGCTTATTAGTGGTTACTTTTTTGTAAATATTCCATGCATGAACTGGCGAAAACTAATATCACACATGGTATCTCCCAAAGTTATCCCTTCCCTAACCTTTCATCTTCTCTTTACATCCATACCTTCTTTCCTCCCTTTTTCTCTCTTCTTCCCTCAATGTCTTCCCATCCTCCAGCTGAGAGGACAGCAGCAGGGGTTGGGGAAGGGTGTGGGAATTTTTGGTTTTCGAAGGGTGGCGGTGGTGGTAGCGGTAGCTGTGGTGGGGAAATATCAGAAGGGGTTGGGGGTGGCTGTGGAGGGTGTGGTGAGGGGCTATGGGTGGCAGAAGGGGGGTGTGGGTGGGGTTGGGGGGTGGTGGAGGGATTTGCAGCAGTTGTAGCTGGCTGTGGGGATGTGAGGGTGTGGACAGAGATTGTGTTTTGAATTTTAGGGTTTTGTCCTTGATTTTAAATTTGCTCAAGGGTAAAAACATAATAAAAAGTCGTGACCAGTATGATTACATGCCTTTGATATTCTGTTTTCCAAACCATGTATGAGGATATTTACAAAAAGTAGCCGCTAATATGCAATTAATTTTTCCATTTCTCATTTATCTGAAGTTTTTCCAATGTTTAATTTATTTAATTTTAAAATATAAACAAGCCAGACTTTTATTTTGTATATTTTGAGACTTGGATTGTTGTATTGTTACATTGGTGGTGGTTAGTAATGTTATAATTTAATTTATTAAGTTATTTTATTAGATTGATTTAAATTGATTTATATATTTTGTATATAAAAAAAAAGTGGTCAGGTATGTGGGTACTTGCTAAACCCCACCCAAAATGCAGTGACGAGGAATGGGACATCCGCAAAAAAAAAACCTGTTCGGTTGACATCCCTAGCTGCCATTTCTTAATTAACATAGCCATTGCACTATTTAATTATTATTATTATTATTTTTTTTTAAAGGAAATCCTTCAACTAGGAGAAGTCTAGTGTTGCCATTGCCCACGGAGTGTATGTGCTTCATTGCTCTCTCTTACCATTTATGAAAATGTTGTCAGGACCAAGAAAAGGGACAAGAAACAAATTGGTCATAGGTTATATCTTTCAACTTTCAGATGAGAGTTAGTTGTCCCTTGAAATATCTGGAGATGGTTACCCCAACTTCATGGATTTTACCTTTAGGCTCCGTTTGTTTTGACGTAAAATGGTTTTGTCAAAAATATTTCACTTAGTTTCCTTTGTTTGGTTGAACAAAAAGCAAGTAAAACGTTTTGTAAGGAAAATATTTTTGCATCATTTTTTCAAAATGACTTACTTTTAAAAATTCCGTTAGATTTTACAAAGTTGACTCTCACTCACTATTTTTTCATCACATTTAGCATTTTCAAATAAATATCTTAGCTCACTAAAACGTCATAAATGACACTTTATTGAATCAAATTTCTCTTTTAGGCAATAAAATGTTTTTGTTTAAAGTGTCAATCAAACACCGAAAAAACAAAATCAAAAACATTGTGTGTAAAATCAATTTACAAGAAAAATATTTTACGTCGAAACAAACTGAGCCTTAGATAGAATTGCAAAGGTCCTCTGATGTTATAATCCTTTCATAGTGCCAGATCTTTGATATTCGTGGAGCTTTTCTGAAATTTTGAAAAAGGAATACTATGAAGTTTTAGTGAACATTTTTATCAGGCGGGGAAAATTTCCATAGGTAAGTTTTGTTGTCTCTGGATTTGCTTGATAAGTTCTTCTCATCGTTGTGTACCTTTTCAAAATAAGTTTCTTTCTTTCCTATATTTGCCATCTATTTGTTTTTACATATGTAATGCTCTCCTGCAGGTTCTCTTTTGTGGCACAGAAAATGGTCGGACATCTTTCGTTCGGCAACTGGAGCCAGATTGGCATATTGACTCAAATCCTGATATCGTTTATCAACTAGCGGTAAATTTCTAATTTTTGTATGACATAGTTATCAAATCAAGGATCATATGATGAATTATAGGGTACAACTAAACTGCTTATTAAAATAAAGGAAGAAAAGAAAAATATTAACTATCCAACAATGAAGCATGTAATGAAAACATAATAATAACTCATTCAAAGTTATCCACCCAAAAAAAAAACTCATTCAGAGTGATATATTACACAAAATATGACATTTCATTACACTGATTCGTAAACCAGAGCGACAACTTCCCCACACCCAAATAAATATGTTTTTGCACCGCATGCTTTGTTGATACAACTTTGAATTACAATTTCTGACTTCTTCTTGATGGGTAGCTTAAGAGTTCCATTCCAAATCAAAATTTGAGTTTTCCAATTCACCATTAGTTGCTAATTATTGGCATGTTTTTAAATGTTCAAATGGAAACCTCTCTTGTTACTTCTGATTGCTTTTTGACGGGACCATAAAAGATGACATTTTGTTTTTCCCATGGAGAGTTCCATTCTGCATAGGCAAAATGAGTAGGTTGTCATTTTCAGAAACTGCTAGATAGTTTATCTTTGTTCATAAAGAATATGAGGTATGGTACAGTCAAGACTCGATATATAGTATTCTTAGTTAACCCATGTGGACTACATATTAGACTGTATTTTTGTATTGCTATTTTATACATTTTTTCCAGTATTACAGTAAGCCTTTTCTCCTTCTATTATATATTTTATAATCCCTTTTTTTTTCTCTCTTTTTTTACAGCGGTTCATCAAATATCAGCTTCACATTTCTCCCATAAAACCAGAACGAACTGCTGCTAATGTTTTCAGCTCCCCAGCGTTGGAACAGTTCTTTGGATGTGTTTAATGGGAAAACCAGTAAAACTGCATATATGTTTTTTTTTTTTTTGGGTTGCTTATTTTTGTTTTTCTTCTCTGCTCTTGGGTTTAATGTGCATCAACACCTTATGTCCCAGCTGATTATCGCTGAATGTTTTCTGGCGCTCGCCAGGAGATGCTGATTTTCAAATGAGAGACCCAATATGTAACAGTTAGCTCTATTTCAAGCGAAGAAGCTTTCTCTGTCTAATCTTTGTGCAATAGATTAAGCTCACATTTAGTGAAACATTGACGTCTAGAGTTCATAAAATGCTTGTGTAATTCATCCCGTTTAAATATGCATGCCTTTTAAAGACAATTATTTTTGATCTTCTGTGGTCTAAAGTTTGGAGTTTGTTAAAGAGTCTATGGCCTATTGTCAACATTCTTTACAAATTTAGTTGTGGTCTGAAAGATCTAGTTCATATTCTGTAGTAGTTTGGCTGTATTATTCTATTTGTTATCTGATCCCTAAGAATTTATGAGATTTGTGACCTGATCAGTGTGATTATTCATGGAAGAGGGATTCGTGCTTTTATATATCAATTGAAATTATGATAGATGATTATTATGATAAAAATAAATAAAAAAGCTTTAATTAATGTAACTTATATTTGTCATTGACTAAGATTATGGACACCATTTTTTACCTTATTTTCTTTTGTTTCACTCTAGTTATGAGTAGGTGGTAGAAAATGATACTGTTATCATGAGTATGGTAAAATGAACCAAAATATTCAAACTTGATTTGCGTTTGAATTATTCAAAGTTGTTTTAAGATTAGTTAGTATCTAAGGGGAAAAAAAAAAGTTTTAAACACATTTTAAACTTGTTAATTTTTTTGTGTTTGGATTTTGTTTGAATTATTCAAAGTTGTTCTAAGATTAGTTAGTATCGGAAAAAAAAAAAATTAAACACATTTTAAACTTGTTAGTTTTTGTGAATTTGGATTTCATTTGAACTCAGTTTAATCAATTTTATGCAATAGAACAATAAGTTATTCGAGTTTGACTTTATTAAAACTCTTTTGAAATTCCTTCAAAAGCTATATATATATATATATATATATTTTAATTTCAAAATAATTTTGAAGCAAGTTAATTAAGTTTAGCAGTCTTTGGTTTAATTTAGTGCATCTTATTATAAATCAAAAGTCGAGTCTAAAACACTCTTCACTCTGCATTTAGAGATCAAATTTTTTTATTTAAATTATTTTTATCTAATAAATTATAAGATTTCCAAGTGTGACACAAACTCTTAAAATAAAATAAAAAAATTATAACTATCTCCAATAAGTTGTTGCACTAAACAACCCTTTTGTTTTAGATTTGGCCCATATCTCCTTTGTTTCATGTTGGCACTTTTGAATTTGGTTTTAGAATAGACTTTGAACGGGTCGATTTCCCAACAAAGTGGGTGTTTGTTACAACTTAAAAGAGGTAATTATAATTTATTTTAATTTGAGAGTTTGTGCTAGACTATTTGTGTAACTTCTATTTATAGCTTATTATATATAAATAATTTAAATAAGTTAAAAAATACTGATTATCTAAAAGTTGGGAGAGCGGTATTTTTAAATTTTGTCTTTTTATTGTCAACTTTTAACTTTCAATAATATGCCATGTGGAATAGACCAACATATTTCGATAATTAAAAGTTTATTTATCATTTTTCAATAATCAAAAGAGTATTTATTTGTTTTTTCAAACGTGTTAATGCATTTGACATGAAGATATATCTGCATGATAATTACATGAATTTTATGCATTAGAGGGTTCAATCACAAACATTTTTCTAATATTGATCAAATAATCGGTTTAACCACTATTGTAAAACTGCTCTTCAATGTGATATTGGAGGAAATCAAAAGAATTATGCAAAAATTAGCTATACTTATTTTGTTTTTTCAATTTCTTACTTTGTTGTAGAAGGTTTTTAACGGGAAACCCATTATCCATTTTTTTAGAACCGTTGTTAACCTTGGATCATTAAGCCGTATTCTCAAAATACATTTCTTTCACTTTAGAATCTCAAATAATATGATTAGGAGTCCATATGCAAAGATTTATGGTCATTTCTTCAAATTACCTTTCAATTCTGTGATTCATTGATGTTACGTACCAAATAAATGAACGATTCAAGAAGACGATCAAAATCTTCAAAAATGATATATTGAAACCCTCTAATTATTTCTGCGAGACCAACCTATTAACCGTTTAACTCCCACCCCATAAAATGTCCAGATCAATCCCTAATTTTTTTAATATGGTGAAATTCTAATATTTTGTAAATTTCTTCTTCTTCTTCCTTTTTTTTTTTAATTTTATTTTATTTTATTTTTTATTTTTTATGAACCCAAACATCTCATTAAAATGAAAATTATACAAAATGGTAGTCACTTACATGTTTGGATTTAATTTTTTAGGAATAAAAGTGGGTTTATCCAAATATGAAATTACATATTTGCATAATCCATACTATAGAGGTTTTGAATTTTTCCTCATTCTGGAACAAATCTGACATTACGAATAAAAATGTAACACTTTAATGTAATACAAAAAATTCCTTAGTGCACCTTTTCTAAATGTAACAACATAACATTCCAAACTTTTTTCCAAACGTAATACTCCATTCGTTCCAAAATATTAGTATCTTATTCCATTTTTCATTGTCCCAAATTATTAGCCATTTTTCAAAAATCAAGGAATAAAATAATATGAATTTACTATTTTACCCTTCTTTTAGATTCATTAATAACACAAAAGTACAATTCTGACAATTGATATTCTCAAAAAAATGTACTATCAAAAGATAATTTTGAAAAATTAATATTTTAAAAATATAATAATTATACTATCAAAAAAAGTTAGATTCCCCAAAAAGGACTATTATTTTGGGACGGAGGGAGTACTCCAATGTAACAATGTAACCCACAAAAAAAACTCATTAGTGCACTTTTTCCAAATGTAACACTCCAATCAATGTAATCTAAAAAAAAAAAAAAAAAACTCCATAGTATACTTTTCCAAAATGTAACACTCTAATGTAACATACCAAAAATATTAAAAAGAACTTCTTAGTGTACTTTTTCTAAGTGTAACACTCACAGTTTGAAATTATACATTTGTCCAAAACTTACTACGAAATTTTTGTACTTATTTTTGAAGGGTTGAAGAATCCCATATAATTTTTTTTGGACCGTGTCGTTTGGAAAAAGTACACTAAGGAGTTTTTTTGAGTGTTATGTTGGAGTATTACACTAAGCAATTTTATTTTTTATTTTTTATTTATTTTTTAACGTTTGAAAAAAATATATTAAGGAGTTTTTTTTTTTTTTAGTGTTACATTTGAAAAAAAATATACTAAGTAGTTTTTTTAGAGTCTTACATTGGAGTGTTACGTTTGAATATTACATTGGAGTGTTACAGTTTAAATTATACATTTGCCCAAAACTTATTAATGAGTTTTTGTATTCGTTTTGAAATGTTTGAAGAATCTTATATTTCAAATTATTTGTAATATTTTTGAAATGTTTGAAAAATCTCTTATTTGAAGTCATTTCAAATAAAAAAGATTTTCATATAAAAATTAATCCCAAATTTGATTCTCATAAATTCTATATCTTATCTTTCTAGTATAAAAGGAAAAAAGAAAAGAAAATATAATAGAAATAAGAATATAATCGTAAATCTAATTTCTAAATAATATATTAAATCTCTCTTTCCAAATAATATATTAAATCTCTCTTTCCAAAGTCAATAAAACTAATTGATATATAAAAAAATTCTTAGAATTAAACGGATGGTCATTCCTTAAGATGAAATTTGTTGGTAAATTTTCCTTTTTAATATAATTTAGCTACTTTTTTTTTTGTTGGTTTGAATTGTTTGTTTTGGCCTTTAATTTATCTTTTACAATATAACTTACCTAGTTTGAATTTCTCGTCTTTGCTTCATCTATATCTATACTATTATATAAGTTCACCTCTTTAGTTTCAAAGTTCTAATCCTTTTTTTTTTCTCTTTTTATGATTTTCAATCTTTCAAATAAGAAAATTATATTTATCAATATAATATTGGTTCCTTTCAATTTGTTGTAGTTTTTTTTTTTTTTTTTCAAATTTCGTTAAATACTCTAATAATTAATGTGGTAAGTTTTTCAAAAAAATGACTTTCAAATATCTCATTTTCCCTTCCAAAATTACAAATACAAAAAACTAAAACTAAAACCGCATAATGGAAAACATTAACAAATAGAGGAATAAAGATGTGGAAATCATGAACGTTGAACAATGATTATAAATATATAAGTAGATCTCCTAATTATATATCTCCTAACAAAACAGTGATATATCTTTCACAAATACATCTTTAACACCTTTCGCAGTTCAGTTTACTTTCAACCATTCCAATTTCTTTTCCACAGTTATTAAAAGTTTGTCAAATTCTTATATATTCATGTTGTAAAAATTTGTATGTCAATATAAATGTATATATTCTGCTAATTTTGTCTATTAGTGAATTGTTTGTAATTATCTATTGCTAGCTTTTTATTTTATCTTTTATTTTAGCGTGTGGGAGCACCTATGCATTGCAATCCTTTTTTTTTACCTTTCGTTTTGGCGTATTATTACTATGATGTTTTAACGTGTTAGTCCGGCTAGAAAACAGCATACTAGTAAAGAAAAAAAATACCGTTACTAACATGTTTAAAATTTTTATTGTCATGTACCTTTTGAGAATTTTTGTTGTAACTTTTTCATGTTATAGTTTTTAAAGCTATACAACATCTCCATTTAAAAAAATACTTATTTATTTGAATTTTTTTTTAATGGTAATAAAAATGTGTGCTACTGCACTAGATGATTGTGGACCGGAGCTCCGCACCCAATCGGACTATCCAGGAATTGAGACCCTACAACAGA